ATGTATTTACAATTGTATATTTAATGAAAATGTTGTTCATAATCCATACAAGAACTTTCACGAACCACAATATTAGAAGATCGTGAATCCAATGTATTTTTCCTTATAATATCCTCTCCATCTTGGCAGCCACTTCACCGGTCGAATTCCAATTAATGTAATCGCCACGGTACCCACTTCAACGACAATAATAACAATTTATCAATGGCAACGCACGGTCTACGTCGAGGGTTATTGAATTGAAAAATCCATATTTTTATTGAACGAAGACCATACGCCAAACGAAAGCACTCGACGGTGTCGTCTGAAATGTGCCTTTGATGGTCCCATCAGATGATTAAATTGTACAGACTTTTGAACTTGCACCGAATGAATTTAGGGTGGATTTTACTTTTTTTTGACTAAACTTGTACAAAATAGTCCGATCTTCCCCCTCTGCCGAGTCCAAAGTAAAATGAAACCTCTTCAGTTTTGACTTTCCAAGGTTGCCCAAGYCGTGTCCAATTCCACAAAGAAACTAACCCTTTTGCGCAACCATATATCGTCGAGATACGTACTTAACGGTTGTACATTAAATCATATTACATTTTAAATGTACCTATGTAGTTTGCATATCAAAATGTTTGGTATACAGTATTTGAACAATTTAACAACACAAATAATATGCATATCAGATATAAGTTTAAGAGAAGAAGTATTTTAGTATACTAAAATATAATATTATTTATTTAACAACATATATTTTACATTGTAAAATATTATAATTTGGAAAAAGTGTTTAATATCAAATACAACAGTAAGTCAGTAAAACAGGAAATACCTAGGTACCTACGTAATATTTTAACTGTTGATGACGAGAAATAACAATCAGCTGTGGTAACAAAAATACCTAATATTATCATACYATCTCAACTGAGAAAACAAATATATTTGTATTTGATTAGTTGCTTAAATGGTTTGTTTACTAATTAAGTGAATTATAATAAATTTGGTCATAGAACAAAATCTTAAGGAAAAAAAGATTGTAATGTTTACAAGCCAAGCGTATAAACTCCATAAAATACACTTTTTAAGACAAATAAGACATTAAGAGGTTGTAATCTAAAAATATCTCAATTATTTTTTCAGCATATTTTGAATTTATTTTCTTACAATCAAAATTAGGTATTTAACACATATAAAAAAAATCAGTGTCTCTTTCGCATAGAAAGTAGATTTTTAAAAGTGGAGAAGCTTTGCTTCTGAACGCTTCGTATAACCTATCGTTCTTGTCCCTGCATCATACCAACATTACCAACTATATAACACACTTAAAATGAGCAACTAATCCAATTATAATSACTTTGTTTTGCACCACAYCTTATAATAGTAATAATTTATAACTGAGTTAGTTTAAACCTATTAGTTATAATTAATTATTAATCACAACGAGTTAAACAAAATTATACAGAAACATCTGCTGAATAAAAGTGGTATTTAAATACCTAAATTTTCTCTAGTATATTAAAATTATGTCYACATCATTTAAATCTTTTGAAAAACTATATTAAATTGGGAAATTTGTTTAAGTTTATTGAGAGTAACAYACTACAGTGAAACCTCCTTTAACGGACACCTCCAAATAACGGATGGAATTTTGGGAACGGTGAAATATGTACTCACTGTATTTCCCCTCTTAATAGCGGACACCTCCAAATAGCGGACGACGTTTARGCGACCGAGAGTGTCCGGTATTTAGAGGTTTCACTGTATATGGTATTAATAAATAATAAACTTTGTAACGATATAAATTCTGACCTTCAGGAGTTATAAATTAATAATAATTGACGTTGAAATAAGTTATTATATTAAATTTCATATTTTGCACAATAGTACACTACTTTTATAAAATCATTATTAATTAATAATGCTTTTATAATAATAAACAGACGATATTATTTATCAATCAAAACATCGACGTTGTTTTAGAAATATTTTTATGTRCAATCATTTTGTCCAGATATTTTTATTCATACTTAAAATTACAACTCATAGGTTTGCAAAAGTGTTCGTTAACGCATTGTAATAAAGAATACAGCATACTAAACCTACATATAGTTGAAGTGGAGTGGCATTCGAAAAACGATCGAATCTGTTAAAATATTCAAAAGGACTGACGGCAACGCTGTTAAGCTTTTCTTTAGGGATGTTTGTTGTGCAAGGGACATRCATATTTAATACACCGGTCAGGGGTTTATAAAGTGTATGACATGCGCGGAAAAGAAGGCTACAAAAATACTATCATAATAATTCATAACGATATAATTTTTATAATGGAATATCCACGTATGTATTATTACTAGTAGCTAGTATTCAATAAAATTAAAAATAACAGTTGTCTAATACGTTATACAAAGTAATTAATCGATTATTAAATGCAAAATTCAAAACATTTAATTACCAGAGTAAATATTTCAAAAATATGAAATATAATGTGTATAACTACCGCAGGTAACACAATATGTCAATCAATGACAAATTTTAATTATGTTTTAAAGATTGATTTTAATTATTTTAACTTATTATAATATTGATATGCAATTGATTACTTTTATAAATAATTTTAATCCATCTGTCATAGACGTCTCTAGTCGCCATAATTATACAAAATATATTAAGTTTTCCATGCGATTATCGAATATAAATATTCCCATGATATTTCATTWAACAACTACTAATTATTTAATTAATTGATGCACACTGGAGTAATTCACATATGTAAAATATAATATAATAATTTAATTATATTATATTATTATGTGAAATTACGATTATATATTATAAATGTACTCATTATTGTAATTTCTGAATAATCTATGAAAAAATTGAACATTGCCAAACAACATACTTACTTGAAAATATTAAACACCTTATGGCTTATTATACTAAAATACCATTTTCGATTCTGAGTTCAACTAGAAGTGTATTCGTTATACTATATTATGTGTGTTTTACTTTTTAATAGTATTTCATTACCTACGGCCTTTATTTAATCATTTACTATTTTTAGGAAACTTATTAGGAGATTATTATAGTTATTTTAAATGTATTTTATCAAAATAAATAATTCGAATAATTTAACACTAAAACCAATTTTTTTTATGTAATATAATGTTTTATTCAGGTCATATAACAATATAAAATCATGATCAAAAAAACATTTTAATGGCTGACTAAATTTTTACGAAACAAGCTTTTTGTAATCTACTGCTACTTACCTATTTTAACATTCTAACCTCTAAGATTATAACTTATAACAGTAAACAAGTATAATAATTGTAATAACTGTTATTTTTATTAAATTACAATAATGACATGGTTATAAATTTCAACAAGATTAAATAACAACTAGATAATAATAATATTATTCATACAAAGAAGTGTATTAGTAATCTATAAACATACCWTTAGTACTTTACCATAATATTTACAATCGTATTTTTTAATGAAAACAAATTAGTTATTTTCGTTAAAAATTATGATTTATTTTATCTAACATGTTTAGACTAATGGAAAACAGAGTAGTCCTATATAATAAATAAATACAATTGTTTAGTGTTTTCTTAAATATATTATTTTACATAATTGTTTTCATTAATATATTTTAACATTAAACATAATGAAACAATAATAATAAAAWGAACAAGAAGGACTTAATAGTATTTTTTATAATTTAATAAAAATAATAAAAACTGATGCAATTGGTAACAACTTAATAAGTTTGATGTTCAATCAATCAAGCAACTTACGAAAAATTAATTTCAAGAATTTAATTTCATAAAAACACATTGATATTATAATATTAGTTCATTTTTTTAACAACACTTACTGCAATATTCTACGTTTCTATGCAATAAAATAGATTTATAATTACGAAACGGACATAGATAGGTGAATAGCTAAAGCCATCGATTAAAGTACCTATATTATTTTTTAAATTGTTTACAAGGTAAAGACAAAAAAAATATATAAATATTTTATAGAATGTGAAATCATAGTTCACTGTAAATGTTAATATATTCTAAGTAAACGTTAATCTATACATAATTATACTTAATATTAGTTGTTCTTAACATTTAATCCTTAAAATATAATTTTTAACTAACAATAATTTCGACCAATGATATGTATCGAATTTGGTTTATGATATGTATGAACTTGGTTGCTTACACGATTAAGTGTAAATATTATTATAATAATAATATTAAAATGYAAATAACGTAAAAAATAAATAATAAAAATAAACATTTTTGTACATGTTTATTATTAGTAATTAGTATTGCTAATTTATGTACAACTTAGAATTTAATGATATGTGTTGATATGATTGGTTACCCCTTAAGATAATTATTTAATATCTACTTATATACTAATGAACTAATATAGTGTAGTAATATAATAAATAATAATTGATACTTGAAAATGTTTAAGGCATATAAGTAGTAAGTAGTCTATACCGATTGAATTTAATAGATTTCATACTATATAATACGTGTAGCTAACGTAACAAGCTCGACTTTTCACATGGATATGTAATTAGAAATTTTATAATTTTGTTTGTGTATTTATATCAATTTTACAARTTGAAACTCTTAAAATTTAATTTCTGTTGATATGTTTGGGTAATTATTGAGCATTATGGAAGTACGAAATGTTTATTATTTTTATATACATACTTTAGTGCTTTAAATATTTTATACTGAAAWGTAATAGATTATATTTGATTAATTTTCATAGTTCTGCTTCTTAATGTTCTTAACAGTGTTATCACAAATATTATTAGAACTATGAAAAATAAGAAAATATTTATGAAAATTTTTATTATYGGCTGTTGGATATTGGATATAGATAATTGGTAAATATTAAAATCTAAATAATTTAACTTAACGGAAAATTATATGATAATTGTTAATTGTTAATATTTTATGTTTCTCGACAGTATAATTTATTCAATGCAGATATTGCTATAAAGGTAATATAATGTTGATTTTAAATAACCATTGTTTACACAATACAAAGTTAATCAACACTGGATTTAAATAAAATACTGTACTAGGTAATATCTAAAAAGTTTCATCATTATATTAAACAATATAAGGATAATAAATTGATGGCGAATTGGTGTTTCAATAAAAATGAATTAGATAATATAGAATGTCTTCAATTTTCTAGGTCAATTTTAGAATGCTATTTATACTTAATAAAATATGATCCAAAATTAAATTTAGTTATTTAATATGAGAATTATGATCTAAAATCGTAAAAAGTATGATATATTCAAATATATTGAATATCAGTTATAATAAGAATTATAGTTAGTAATATAATTATTAATAAAGTTATAATATTATTAATATTCATATTTCTCATTAGCACTCAATCAATATTTCATTAGGTACCAAAAACAAATAAGGAACGATATAGAGCATATACCATAATGGATTATTCACACCATTAATTTTGAACATGACTTCTACACGATATAATATTGCTTAGTCTACACATATAATTTGTATTAAGTCTTTTTTTTCCCGAGAAACTAATCATTTAAAAACGGTAATGTATAATACTAAGCATCTCAATTTCTATTTTWATACAGAACAACAGTTTCCTCTATTAAGCATTTCAATACTGTTGCCTAAATGGATTCCTATCCTGTGCTGGTTGAGATGACCTTCTAAAAGGATTGGTGTCYTGAGATTGATGGAATGTGGCATTTTCGTTTTCAATCGCTACATGGCCATCCATGTCAGTTTCTGAGTGTCCTTCTATTCTACTATACTCACTATTAACTGGTATGGGTTGTTCTTGCATGGCATATGTTTGGTATTCTTTATCTGGAGGGTCAGACATGAGAATATTTGCCTCATTCTGAAATGGCTTGAAGTCATATATATTTCTGAGCCTCATTAATGCTGGAGCGTATGCCAAATTAGAAACAGCTATGATAATATTCAGCCAAGTGAACCCGATCATTTCYACTACTTCACCAGCCACTATAGGACCAATGGCATAAGCTAATGAGTATGAAATATCGGCAATTGCGTAAATGCTACCATAAACTGAAACATATCGGACGTCTACAATGTATCCAAGGGTTGGCAATATAGCTGTATCCACTAACGCAATTCCGAAACATATAATGCAGATAGGAATCATCAGGACTTTGTATGAAGTTGAAAAAGGAATTATCAAGCAACTGAGGCCTTCGAGAGATAGTCCAACAGCAACCATAAGCCATTGATAGTTTGGAAACAATTTTGATAGCTTTACTGTCAGTATTACACCAAAGACGTGTGGGAAAAATGCGGGCAGCCATATCATCCCCATTTTCCAGTTATCATGAGTAATGTGATCTTCCATCCAGAGGGATATAGTAGGTTCTAGAAATGCAAGTGCAACGTTTGACATCATCAAGGCTCCGGAGCATACAGCAATATAGGGGTCCATAAAGAGTTTCCATATGGGTATGGTTGGAACTTTTTTCAAATGTTTTTGTTCTTTGAGTTGTTGTTTTATGGGTTTCATAACAAGGAGCAGCATTAATCCATCAACAAGGCAAACAAATGCTAGAATAAGGAATGGAATTTCTTTACCCGCAAATTGATATAAAGCGCCCCCAAAAGGCGGTGCTACTAGACAACCAAAACTGATGAACGCTAATGCGATYCCTAATGCTTGAGCTCTTTCATTTTCCTCGGTAAATCGATCAGCTATCATTGCTAAGCCAGACGTATCAGCAAACGCAGATCCAACTCCCTGAAGACTTCTAGCTATGAAAAGGACGGAATAACTTCTTCCGCATGCAAATATCGAGGTGGATAGGAACATAATGGATAATCCAATCATCATTGGTATATCATATCCAATCCTATCAATTAGAGCACCAGAAAATGGATTCACCATGAGTTGCACGATTGCTTTGGATGCAAATAATACTCCAGTTGCTGAATCTTGTCCGTGGTGGGATGGCGGGGTGATTGGATCATCCGTAAAGTTTACAGCCGCGGGGATTTCACTGAATGAATCAACGTACCTCAAATAATCTGGTATKATTGGCACAATTACCATGTATAACATGTTGTCCAACAACAATGCTATAGACACGATAACTAGGATCAGTCTTCTTTGAATAACTGGTTCTTGAATCTTTTCCCATAGTATTTCCTTTAACTCGTTGACTTCTAAATTAATAAGTGGCACTTGGAACGTGCCCACAGCGCTCCAACACCGAGATAATGGATTCCCTGATGGTTCCATGATGAATTTTCTGATATCACATTACATGACTTCCCCCGATGAAACGATGATGGAACTCACCATGATTGATTCCAAACCTTCAACAAAAAGATACAAAATAATTGTGTTAGAAAATTAATGTAAAACAATAGATGAAAAATAATGAGTGTATCTCATTGCAAAGGTATGAAATCCATCATGGAAAGTTCTTCAACAATATAAACAACATTAATGCATTAAATAAATATGGAATCTGCACCTTTGCTGTGAGAAAAGCTTTAAAGAAAAAATAATTTAAATAAATAATTTAGAAAACGTACATTTTACTTTGTTAATATAATTTACAATTATTAATTGTTACACTTAGTAATATAAATATGTTTCTTAATTTTCTTATTTCTTTATTAAATCACATAAATAGATACTTGCAGTTTAAACATAACAATACCATTTGAAGATATTGTTATTAATGTTTAACACCAGGCTAGTGTAAAAGACGTGATAATTACAGATGCCACATACTCCGGAGGGGTTAGGTTTATTTAATGTTACAAAGCTGTCAATGGAAGGGACTGTCAATTGCACGCGTAACCTCGCGGCACAAACGATTCTCTTTTACATTTTGAAAATGAATTACATAGCTGCTATCGTAATGAACAAACCCAACTACCTACCCTTTATAATTGAGTTATGTTATGTGAAATATAAATCTTCTTTAGCTATGTTTAACACTATTTTTTTTTTATTCAAACAATTTTACCTACAACGGGTATTTATTGCTGAAAAAAAAAATAATATTTTTAATTAACTTATCTAAAATAAGTACTGAATAATTTTTATAAACAATATTGATTTAAAATAAAATTTATTTTTATACGATACTATTATATATATTATTAATAATTAGGAAAAAAGAATGTTAAATAAAGTATAAGTTATCACTTTATCAGTATATTTACGTTTAGTCATCATTTCCCTCAACAGTGATTTTCGTGTTTGTTTTGGTCCCCCACAAACATTTTAGAAAAATTTATAAAGACATTCACTATAGTCACTACCCYGTCTCATTATTTTTAATGATGCAATTTGCTAATTAACCGGTCACCATATACATTGGAAGGGAGCGACCCTCCTATGTATATTGTTCATTTTATAGGGTTCGGTTGTCGATAATGTACGTGTTTCTTCGCTTGATGCAGATTCGTTTGACATAAAGAAAAAAAACATCAATGACTTTATACATACAAAATAGTTCAGTAAAGAGAAAACAATTTATTCTTAGAGTTACCAACAGGTAACAATTATTTAAATTGGTGAATTTTTATGGTGCTTGGTAGGAACTCACATCTATTTTAGTTTTAATAACCTGTAAGTAATAATAAATAGATGGATATTGTACATACATTTTTATTGATGCACTTTGATGTATAAATTTAACATTGAAAAACATCATAGGTATGTAATCAAAAAAATTAGTTGAATTCGAATTAAATTTAAAATCTTATTTAAAAATGTGTTATTTAAATTTCAAGTTTTAAATTTTTTATTGAAATAATAGGTATGTTGTAGTTTTGAAACATTAACTAAATTAAATAAAATACCCATAATACGCTACATAAAATATATAACATTTTACGAAAATACACCTATTATTATTTAAGCTTTATCATTAAAAAAAAGTATTTACAGAAAAATAAATAGACAGATTCTACAATATTGTCAATCATGGTAATGTAAATTATTGTTGCATAAATTAAATTTGTATTACCTAGTAAATAAGCACATCCAATTATTATTATTTAATTTTTATTTTTATGAAGAACTTGAATTATACTATAATTTAAACGAAAACCCTGTAGTCACTACAGTTAATTTAAATTTCTTCATTTAAAATTAAATATTTATTCAACATATTTAGCATATTTTAGTTAAAGTTTAACATACCTAGTCAATACTAATTTAAAAGATTTACTTTTATTATTGAATCATTATAATAATTTAATATTTAAATTTACATGTGTATAGATTTATATTACATG